CGCGCGTGTGTGTGTGTGTGTGTGTGTTCTACCTGTTGGGTCTTTAAACACAGCTTTGGCGTCAGCGTTGGTGTGGACGATGCTCTTCAGCAGCACGGCCATGTTGGGCACTTTGTTCCTGGGCAGCTGTTTCAGAGCAGCCTGGTTGAAGAGGAGGAACAAAAAGTTTAAGTTTTGCATCACGGCTTTGTGCCAAAACYTGTCAGAGACGCAACGAACACAGAGGCAAGTGATTCAGAAGATATTTTGCTAACAAACAAAGCAGTCTGACTTGTGGAGTTTTCCTGATCCATCAGTTAAAACTTAATGTTTACAAACATCCTGCAGCGTCATTTATTAACTTCGCCTGAGAGAAGCTTCATCATTTTGACAGTTTGAACGGAAGCTCAGCTTTTCATTTGTTACCTTCTCATCTGTCCTCTAATAAATAGACCAACTGAATGTTTAATCWATCCAGTTTTAAATATCGCTTCTTTCACTGTTGTTGTTTTTTCTGCTGTATTAGATGAAACCTGTTCAGATTGTGTGTCAATTTGTCCTTCAGGCAAACAGAAGTTGAGACTCGGACCAGATTAAACAGAGAGACGTGTGCAGAAAGTCTGAATTTACAGAGGTTATAAACACAGAGAGAGTAGAAGAACAACAGGGTCTCCATTAGTGTGATTGATTAGTGATCGCACTGTTTATCATCTCCAAACACCTCTGGAGCGGCGCCGTTATTTGTCCTGATTAAGTCCACAGACTTCCAGCGGCCTCACGCGACGCAGCGATGGAGGATGAATCGTTTTTCAAAACGGCTCGACCCAAATTGCAGGAAAATGCAGATGAAGCAGGACTTCCTGCGTGTCCGGACTCCGAGGAGGACTCGACGCGGAGTTTGCGTGTGACGGTGATTGCTGGGGCTCACCCTGCGGAGCACCATGACCACGCTGTAGGAGTGCAGGAAGCACGAGGGATTCCGCTCGTCGAGGCCCATCTCGGCCTTCATCGCCGCCCAGCCGCCGCCGCTGAACTCCTCTTCCTCCGTCTGCGAGCTGGAACCCTGCGAGARAAAACATCTCTTGAATGAACTGAACATCGGATGAAATAGTGTGCAGAAGGTGAAAAATGCACAAAAACGTGACCCAATGAGGATTAAGTCTAAAAGTGGGACGTGAAGAAATAGGCAGATATAGAGTTTTGATTAAAACATTGGCAAAAACTGCATTTTTTCAAAACAGAATGAATAAATGTCTTATCAATGTATCATTTGAAAGAACTGTCTGAAATATAATCATAAAACTAAATTTTGAAGCACGTTTTTGAGCAGCAGCAACAAAAAAAATGATTTTAAGGAAAAACTCCTTAAAACTGAGATTTTCCCTGTGAGCTACAAATGTTTTTTTTTTCTTTCCAGCTGGGAAATCTGAATATTCAAATACTATCTGAAGTTTTTTCTTTGTATTGACATTAAAAATTCCTCCTTGAAATTACATAAAATTAGGATTCAGATCAAATATTATTGTATTATTGTAACCAACAAGCAGTGGTGGGCACAGTTCCCCTAAAGCACTAAAAGGGGAACCAATTTCCTGATTAGTGCTTTAAGGCTTTTGCTAATTTCTTAATTCATTAGTGGATTAGCACTTGCTAAATTTAGGGGCTAAATTTAAAAGCACTAATTTAGTTCTTTAAATATTATTGATCAACATTATTGTCAACAGCTGAGGGTGAAAGCTGTCAGACATGTTGGTCACTTCTCCACCAGATCAGTGGTTTTCAAACTTTCTTGCTTCTGACTCCCAAAATAACAGTTGCAGACACTGGTGACCTCATACTTGTTTACGTAAACTTAGCTAATAACTCTGTTAAAAATGGGAATAATAACTCTAAACAAAACTAGTAACTATGATACAAATTTTTATTATGATTATTTTAAAAAATTGCAATAATCATGATGAAAATATTCCATTAGCATTTTTCTGCATTTAAATTGATGTCTGGAAATCATCTGGGGACCCTCACTTGATGTTTTGTGGCCCACAAAGAGGTCCCGACCCCAACTTTGGGAACCCCTACACGAGATGAATTATTAACAATAGTCTGCACACAGAAGATATCGTCTCATGTTGACTCTGAGGAACGTCCCATGGGTCAGCTGGGATTTTAGTGCTTTAGAATTAGCTTTTGCTAAATTTTTAAGTGAGTTGGTGCTTTAGGATTAGGGGACCTAAATATTAAAGTTAGTGCTTTAGGGTTAGTGCAACTAATTTTTGGATTAGTGCTGCCCACCACTGTCAACAAGATAAATTAAGTCATTTCTCTGGATCCATGTATGATGTCAGAATGATCCAGGCATCAAAATGTAGCTTTTTAAAGTCAGGAATCTGAAAATGTAATTAGGTCATTTTAAACAAATTTGACTTAATCCTCATTTTGATATGATGGGTCACAAATTTAAAAAAACAGGAAAACAGAAGTGATTGCTGAATCAGCYTTCTTACAGAGCTGCAGAACAAATGATTAGGAAAAAACAAAACCAGCTGTAGATGTTTTTGTCTCTGGGTTTTATTTACCTGACTTGGTAGTCGAGCCACAGCCCCGTGAGCCGGAGTCTGAGGAACAGAAACCACTATCTCATCCAGGTTCTGGCCCTGAGGCTGACAGAGGAGACGGAAATTAAAACCGTAGCGTAAAACTTCTTGTATGAGAAGAGAAACGGAGTGAAACCTGCTGCGGCAGGAGTCCTGCGGGGCCGGGGAAGCGTCTCGTCCTGGGATGGTGAGCCTCAGAGCGAGGCCTCTTTTTGGGGAGTTTGTTGGAGGCGGACACCAGCTGAACCAGARGGTTGGTGAGGACCGGCGTGTGCAGGGGATGAGGGCTCAGAGGGGAGGTGTTCGCCGACGGAGAGGCAGCCGGGGAGACCGTTTCAAAAAGTCCACGAGCCTGATGGGAGGCTCGAGGAGTCAGCCGCTGCTTGTGTGGCTGCGGGGGATTGTGTACGGTGCTGGAGGAGCTGCAGGGGGCCGGAGAGGAAGCAGCAAAGCTGGGAAAATTAGGAGTCTGTGGACATGAGGTCGAAGCAGGACGGGGATTTAAAGACTGTCGAGGTGCAACAGGGGGGCTCTGAAGAGCCGCGCTATAACCAGATGTGCCAGAAGGGTTGCATGCAGTTCGGAGAGTTCTGAGCCCCCCAAGGGTCTGATTAGGAGCTGAATGACTTCCTCCATAAGCTGAGGGTCGCAGTGTTTTGGCTGAAGATGGAGGCTCAGCTGCTGGTGCAGGTGGAGCAGAGGCAGCGGGTTTCTGCAGTTGCCCCATTTGGCTGTCGCACTCGTCCAAATCTGCCAGGTCAACATCCCAATCATCAAACTCATCCTGAGCCACGCAGGAGTTCATCAGCCCCATAGTGTTAACACGGCTCTGTTGCTGTGCCAAATTTGGCTGAGAGTTGTTCGGCGGAGGCAGAGGAGGCGAAGAGGAGAGCCGTCTCAAACCCAGAGCAACAGTTTGTCCAGCAGCCCCGCGCACGCCGCTCCCTGAAGCCGTGCCATTACGCACGGCTGCCAATTCCTCCTCGGTTCGCTGATGGCCAATATTCTCCTGCTCTCTGTGAGCCACAGAGGAGGCCCGCAGAGCGCAGGAGGACACAGCAGCTGCCACTTTGGCTGGTCCAGAGGCTGAGCAGGGGGTCCAGTCTGTCCCGAGCAGGTCCTGGGATCAACAGAGAGAGAGAGAGAGACAGGATTACTCTATAACAGAGTATCAACAAGCTGCTATTACAGTTAGCTAAAGAGTTGAATCAGGTGTGTCACCTCATCATCAAAATCCTCGCCAATGCTGAACAAGCCATTCAGTTTGCAGGTCTACAACAGAAACAACAACCTAAAGTAAAATGCATTTACATCAAACAAAGCATTAAAATACAGTTTAACCAATATAGATTACATAATAAGCTTTTAAAAGTGTGCAATCAGTATTTTAGCATTTGTTAGCTTAGCTAGCTCAAAGCAGCTACTTCTAAATTTGGCCCACTTACCATCGCAGTCATGAAGTATAACGATGAAATAATCGTTTAGACAATCGCGACAAATTGAAATCAAATGCCATTCAATAACACAGACTGACAAAAAAGTTACTGGCTTTTGGGAAACTTCGATTTTGACCGACAAAACACGACCAAACAGCGAGAAACTTTTCTATCTGCAGTGCAACTTCTGGCTGCCGCGACCACGTTCAAATCCGACGTCATGACGTCAGGAATGTTTACGCAAAGATTGTTGAAGCAGCATAAGATAGTTACCTCCGCCTATCCATAAGCATTTTATTCTTGTTTTTGTCATTTGTTATAAGTATGAAAGTGTGAACATCTAAGTGTGTTGTTTTATTCATCGCTTATGCTGGACCATATTTTTGATATTGTTATATTCAATAAAACTTTATTTAAAAACATTCAAATTCAGACCTAAACCAGTCTTAAATCTAAAGAAACTTAACATTGACACTTAAAACRCTTGAAACTGAGTAATTACGATAAATATTTTATTCAGGATTATTTTTACATGAGAGAGAAGATTGCTTTGTTGCATGTTTTAATTTTGCATTTGAACTAAATGTTTATCTTGGCGTTTGTTTTCTCTTTGTTTAAATACAGTTTAGGAAATACTGCCATCTAGCGGTTAGAAATGGACATAACGAGTATCAGCTTTCATGCTGATCTATTTATAACTGAAGCTGAACTTATACTTGAAAAACAAACTTATGACTGTGTCCACAAAGGACGAGCATTTCATTTAAATGTTTTATCATAATAGTTCAACTTAATTTATAAATAAAAGTGGATTCAGTTATGAGAGTGTTCATTTGACCTCCATAGGATTTTTTTGTCTTACATTGCCAGTGAAGGGTGAGTTAAGTTGTCTGCATGCGTTTTTGTAAGTAGTGTTGCTTAAGGAGGATCTTGTGTAAAGTTCTGCTGAGATGTCTTTGTTAATTTACCAAAARGTCAAGATTTTAATTTTGCAGGAGGCCCTCATGTCGAAGGACACGTTTCCGTTCACTTCTACCTCGCTGCGCTCCCTCAGACTGGAGCAGGACTTCCAAGAGTGGGAAGATGCCCGGCGAGCTTTGGCTCACAGGAGAGCCATGACCAGGTCCCCTCTGCCTCGGGCCCCTCGGCCTCCTCCKAGGCAGCAGAGGCTGCAGGAGGTCCAAGCCCCTCCACCTCAGGTCCGCTGCAGGGACACAGCCATCCACAACACCTTCATGTGTGGGGACATGAAAGGAGTGTATGCTGTGTTGAAGGACCCCGCCATGGTCAACGCCCTGATGGAGACGGTGCACGAAGAGATGGTGTGGGCCCCAGAGATGGGTAAGACCTCAGGAGCAGGGGCGGAGCTAGACTTTTTTTGCGAGGGGTGGCCCATGTGTTTTTTAGGGGGCACATGCAAACAAAGAAAACTACTCTGTATTAGAAAATTTGAGATAGCTACAGCTATTTATACAGTAAATGACTTTAATTCAGCTGTTTAAAGAAATACTGAACAGAAACTGTTTTTAAGCTAACATAAACTAAGTGCTAATGCTAATTAAAATTTTACAAAGGACTATAATTCAGCCATTTTTAGCATATACAGCTGAACATTTGTGTAGTAGTAACCAAAAACAATAAAAAACTGAATGCAAATCCTAAATCCAATTTCAAAAGGCTATACTTTAGCCATTTTTTAAATTACTAAGTTGTGTAAATGAGCTGCGTAAACATGATGAATGCATATCAGGTGTTTGTGCACGAGGAGAGGAGATCAGCATAATTACCACCCAAAAACACTATATAAGGCCATGTTTCCTGCCCCAGATACCAGGAAATGTTCCTTCATAAATGACATCACAAAGTAAAAAAGAAGAACTTTACGAGTTCAGAGAATGAAGTCCTGCTGTCAGAGATCCAGAAAAGGAAAATCTGTCATTTTTAGCAGTGTCAGCTGTGGAATTAAAGGAAAGAAATGACGACTGCTGTTAATGTCGTGTTTCCCGTGGGTCGTATACAGYCACAGAAATAAAATTCTAAATCATATTCATCTCTCTGTCTAGTCCTGCTCATGTTTTCCTTTGGTCAAATATTTTTAAWTTWAGTGTAAACACCTGTGTTACCGCCTCTGCTCAGGGGGTTCAGTTTTCATCCTCTCTGCTCCTCTGTCAGGGCTGTGGACGCTGAGCTCCAGGGTGAAGCAGACCTCTGCCTTACGCCTGGCTGCCAGCAGGGGACACGCAGCCTGCGTGGAGGAGCTGCTGTTCCGTGGAGCCGAGGTCAACGCKGACCCCGGGGGCAACGCGGCCCTCCACGACGCCTGCAGGGGAGGCCACTCTGTTTGTGTCCAGCTGCTGCTGTCCCACGGAGCAGATCCTGGACTGCTGGCAGAGGACGGCAGCGCTCCTCTTCACCTCTGCTCCTCCGTGCAGTCCCTCCAGTAGGTGCTGAGAGAACCTCTAACCTTRAGGGTTCGAACAACTGCAGCAGGGATGTTGAAGTGTTTTGTGTTTTTCCAGCTGCGCCCAGCTGCTTTTGGAAGGAGGCGCAGACGTCAACGTGAGGAGCAGGGAGTCCAGGCTCACCCCACTGCACGTGGCCGCCCGCCGAGGCCTGGAGGAGCACGTGGACCTCTTCCTCCTCCACGGAGCAGACGTTTTAGCCACCAATCAAGAAGGAGAGACTCCTCTGAACGCCGCCTGCTCCGGAGCGGAGAGGCCGTCCGAGGCGGGGCGGTACCTCCGTGTGGTCCAGAAGCTGCTGGATGCAGGAGCTGACCCCCGGACTGCAGGCAGGAAGCAGCACACCCCGCTGCACAACGCCTGCGCCAACTGCTGCCCCCGCATCGTGGAGGTCCTCCTGCAGCACGGAGCCAAGGCCGAGGAGGTGKACTCTGCAGGATTCACACCTCTGGACTGTTTGATGCAGGTACCAGACGGATGGAGGTGGAAGGTTCTGTAACTCTGACATTTGGACTGAAAAGTTTCCTTCTGGTCCTAAAGGTGGTGGAAGATTACCCAAACCAACAACCTGAGGATGTAGCCCGATCCCTGCTGAACCACGGAGCCAAAGCTGTTCCACCAAAGGTCCAACAGAACCGAGTCCAAACCCAACAGAACCTGAAGGAATGAAACTGAAAACTGTCAGATATCAGGAGAATAAAAACTCATTCTGGTTATTTGAAGACAATTTTTAAAATTATAATTAACATACTGTAAAACTTAAAAAACATTTAGTTAAATTTACAAGTGTAAATATAATATTTTACATTTAATTTATGGTAAACTGATGGATGAAAGCTAAAAGTAGCAGAGGTGTAGCTAAAAGCTTGAAGTATCAAAACACAAACTAAATCTTAAAGTAGCAGAATGGTAGCTAAAAGTTCTAAATAGTAAACATGTAGCTATCATTTAAAGTAGCACTAGGCTAAAAGCTAGTTAAAAGTAGCAGAGCAGTAGCTGAAAACTGTAGCGGACGTAGCTGAATGRTAAAAGCAGCAAAGATGTAGCCAAATGCTAAACTTTAACTGAATACTAAACGTAGTAGAGACAAAAGCTAAAAGTAGCAGAGATGCAGCTGAATAAGTGGCAACAATGTAGCTAAAATAACAGGTAATGCTAAAAGTAGTAAAGGTAGTAAAGTTAAAAGTAGCAGAGAGTTAGCTGAAAGCTAAGCATGGTAAAAGGCTAGCTAAAACTAGTATGTGGTAGCTGAATACTAAACTTAYCAATTAGCTAAAAGCTAAAAGCAGTAAAAAGTTAGCTTGAAAGTAGTAGAGGTTGCTAAATGCTAAAATTAACAGAGACATAGCTAAATGCTAAGAGTAGCAAAAAGTTAGTTAAAAGTAGCAGAAAGGTAGATGAAAGCTAAACATATTAAAAGGCTACTTAAAAACTACAGTAGCAGAAGGCTAGAGGCTAACCAAAACCTAATTACTTACCTAATTTCCTTCTGGGATCAATAAAGTATTTTTGAATTTGAATTTAATTGAAAAGTATTAGAGCAGTAGCTGAAAGCTTATAGGCTAGTTAAAAGCTAAAATAATAAAAAGGTTATCAAAAGCTAAAATAATCACAAGTAGCAGAAGATGAAAAAGTTGGTAGTAGCTGAGAGTGATCCTCAACTGAGAGCTAATAGCAAATCAAATAACTCCAATAAATAAAGCTTTATTTGTTTTCCTTCAGATACTGAAGCTTTGTTTGTTTGTTTGTTTTCCTTCAGATGCTGAAGCTTTGTTTGTTTGTTTGTTTGTTTTCCTTCAGATGCTGAAGCTTTGTTTGTTTGTTTGTTTTCCTTCAGATGCTGAAGCTTTGTTTGTTTGTTTGTTTGTTTTCCTTCAGATGCTGAAGCTTTGTTTGTTTGTTTGTTTTCCTTCAGATGCTGAAGCTTTGTTTGTTTGTTTGTTTGTTTGTTTGTTTTCCTTCAGATGCTGAAGCTTTTTTTGTTTGTTTTCCTTCAAATGCTGAAGCTTTGTTTGTTTGTTTGTTTGTTTTCCTTCAGATGCTGAAGCTTTTTTTGTTTGTTTTCTTTCAGATGCTGAAGCTTTGTTTGTTTGTTTGTTTTCCTTCAGATGCTGAAGCTTTGTTTGTGTGTTTGTTTTCCTTCAGATGCTGAAGCTTTGTTTGTTTGTTTTCCTTCAGATGCTGAAGCTCTGCGCCGTCTGTCCTGCCGTCCTGGAGGTGATGCTGAACTCATCCCGCTCCCTCCCTGCCTGTGACTGGATGGCCTCTCTGCCAGCTGAGGTGTGTGAAGTGATCTCTAACAGCTTCTCCTCGCCTCCTTCCTCCTCCCCGCTGAGATGTTTCTGCCTCTGTGTCTCAGGAGGAGGACCGGCCGTTCCTGGAGCTGCTGCGTCAGAGGAGCGGCTCGCCTCGCTCTCTGCAGCACCTCTGTCGATGCGCTCTACGTCATCAGTTAGGAGCTCGATGTCACTCAGTCGTCATGAAACTGGACGTTCCCACCTCTGTGAGGGACTACCTGCTGCTGTGTAGTGATGGAACACTTAAATAAATGTTTACTGAGCCTTTAATGCTGACTGTGACATCACCAGAAACATTATTTAGAGGTTATTCTAGATCTATGCTGCTGTTTCCTGTTTTATATTTGTGGAAATATCGGAGCAAAATAGTCATCTTGTGTGTATTTTTATCTCAGCTATTCTTTAGAGATTTGTTACTTTTACAGCTTTAAAATGACTCAAGGATTTTATTCTCCATATTTGCTACAAAGAATATAAACAGCAGTTTAATATAATGGTATTTTGGTTTGAGTTCTCATTACGTCATTGTTTAATCAAATCGCTGCTGTTTTTGACCTACCTGCCCTTTAGAGCTCGGGAGGGGGTGGAGCAACAGGCGGATATAGTTTCCATAACAACCGTCCCTCCCTCCTCCTCTGTGTGACGTCACGCCCACTGCACCGTGTTTATTCTTTTTTTTTTTTTTTTTAGCCACAGCGGCTAAGTAGAGCTAAAGCTGGTGTTTAACCATGCTCTGATGTTTATTTTAACCAACTGACAGGTAAGACTGCTCTGAATACTGTAATCCAAACAACTTTTAGAGGTTCAGTTTGGAAACTGTTGCGACAAAATCATACCGACAGCAGCGGGTCGTAAACAGCCGAAGGTCGTTGTTTTGTTTTTTTTTCCTTTAGCTAGCTAGCTAGTAGTTAGCGCGAAGGCTAAGTTAACTCGAACCACAACACGGAAGTTCAACAGAACAAAAATTAGCTTTTAATCCACGACGATAAAAACTGAATAATGAAAATATGACATTATAAAATGTTGACAAATGTTGAAACWAGAAACAAGCAGCTGCTACCCTCCCAGATAGCAGCTGCTCTGCCTGCCTCTAATGTTTACATTTATTACTTTGAATCTGACATGTGAAGTATTACTTGTTTGTAAAATATCCCAAGTTTAAAGAATGTTTGGTCAAAAARAAGTTTTCCTGATCTGCAGGGAAACATTTCAACAAGGCTTTTTGAAGACCAAATTGTTGCCTGATTCTTCATTTTCACCAAAATAAATAAAACGAAGAGCTTTTGTTGTTATTTTCATTTTGAATCAATGAAACTTATGTCATGTCAAAGCCCAGTCACGTGTTGGAGACCTAAATCTACTTAATACTGCAATCACATTTTTTATTGGATGTTTAGTGATATAACTTTTTAATTATGTTTGGAGAGTGGGGTGTTTATGTATTTTTATCATTAATTGTAAAATGTATAATTTTAATTTTCTGATTGTTTTTTTCCCCCATCTCATTTTTGTTACTGTCTAGGACTACAGATGTAAATTAGCCTTTTAGGCTAAATCTGGTGCAATACATCAAATGTTTTTAACAAATAAATTCATTCAAATTAATTTTTTAAAACTTTTTATCAAATTGGTGCATTTGGTGACTTTGAAGATTTGTTACCCGTCCCTGCAGGACCGGAGGACACAGATGGCGGTCTGTGCGCTGACCATGTTGGATGGAATGGGGAGCGAGGTGGCGGCGGCGGCCGGCGTCCTGCTCCTGGTCGTCGCCCTCATCCTGGCTTGGCTCTCGACCCACGTGGCGGACCGGGGAGACCACATTCTGGGCACCATCCTCACCGTGGGCGCTCACGCCTCGCTCATCGGCCTGGGGGGCCACGACGGCTACGGCGGAGGGTCCGCCAGCGCTGACGCCCCGGAGCAGCAGACCGCCCCGCCATCGCAGGACAACAAACCGGATGAAGGCGAGCCTGCGGCTGAAAGAGGAGAGGGTGAGGGGGCGGAGGAGGGGGCTGAGGGGGTGTGGACTGATCTGATGCTGGACATTCAGAGCAAGAACCCTCAGACTGGGAGGATGAATGCTTCTGATGAAGAGGACGATGAACTGGATGATGACGAGGAMGAGGAGGAGGAGTTAAGGCAGCTTGAGAAGAAGCCTAAACCTGTTTTCACCTCCACTGCTGCTACCTCCATCTCTGTCCGGCTGAAGTTTCTAAACGACACAGAGGAGGTGGCTGTCGTGGAACCTCAGGACACCGTTGGGATTCTGAAAAGGTTTGTAAAATAATGCAGAATATCTCAGACAGCAGCCGTGTTTGTTCTTAAAACATGTGACCCATCACATCGAAATGAGGATTAAGTCAAATTTGGTCAAAATGACCTAATTACATTTTCAAATTTCTGACTTTAAAAGCTACATTTTGATACTTAGATCATCCTGGTATCATAAGCTCATTCAGAGATATGACTTAATTTGTCTTGTTGGTTACAATAATACAGTATTTTTGGTCTGAATACTAATTTTCCCTAAATTTGAGTAATTTTTGATTGATTCATTCATTCGTTGTATTTATTATGTAAATGGCACTGCATATAATATWCAATAACATTAACATAAATGGATAACACAAATTATAAAGCTTATTTCCATTGTGGTCCAATTGTTTATATCAATATAAAGAGGAAACCTGAAATAGTATTTGTATATTAAGATTTCCCAGTTGGAAAGAAATAAAAATGTTGCTAGCTGACTGGGAAAAATTCAAAATTTTAAYGTGTTTTTCCTCAAAATCAAGTTTTTGTTGCCACTGCTCAAAAAAAAAAGTACTAAAAAAATGCTTCAAAAATTTTTTTAGGATTATATTTCAGACAGTTCATTCAAATGGTACATTGATAAGACATTGATTTATTATATTTTCACAAAATGTAATATCTGCCCATTTCTCCACATCTTTTGGACGTAATCCTTGTTTCGATGCGATGGGTCACGTTTTATTAGAATTACTGCAAATAAAACATATTTCCTCTCTAGGGCTGCACGATATTAGAAAAACCTGCGATGTGCAATATTGGTGCTTAATATTGTGATGACGATATATTTGCGATWAATTAAAAAATACCAAATACATAATTATGTAGTTTTGATGTCTTTCTGCTCTGGGTTCAGAGCAAAAAAAACATTAAAAAAATAATAATTTTCATTCCGAAATGATTTTTTTATGAAGGGATCCATCCAATTGGCCAAATACATTAAGGGCTCTATTTGATTGGTGAAATACTTCAAACTTCAGTCTAAGTGACAAAACTTGAAAATGCAAACGTTTGAGCCAACCATTTATTACWGTTTATGCAGTTGTTGCGATATGAATATTYCACAGGCTGTTATCACGATGACGATGAATTTTCGATATATTTTGCAGCCCTATTTCTCTCTGAGTGTCACTTCTTGTTTTGCAGCAAATGCTTCTCGGGTCGGGAGCATCAGGTTAAATTAATCTATCGAGGCCAGCTGCTGCAGGACCCAAAGAGGACTCTGTTTTCCCTGAACATCACCGACAACAGCGTGGTCCACTGCCACGTCACCCCGGCCGCGCAGGAGGCCGACCCGGAGGAGGGGGCTCAGCCGGGGGCGGGCGCGAGCTCCGGGGCGTTGAGGGCCGTGAGTGTGGCCATCAGCACCAGCAGCCTGGTGGTCCCCGTGTTCGTGGTGGTCCTGGCCGTGGTGTGGTACTTCCGCATCAACTACAGGCAGTTCTTCACCGCCCCCGCCACCATCTCCCTGGTGGGAGTCACTGTGTTCTTCAGCTTCCTGATCTTCGGGATGCACGGCCGCTGAGACGACGCCTCTCGCGCCCGCGCATGAATGTGAAATTTAAAAAAAAAAAAAAAAGACGGAGCGACGAGGAAACGGCTCGCTGCTGCAGCTGATGTGGAGGTGGGCCCGTCTGTGCATGTACCGAGAAAAAAAAAAAGATTGTATTCTCTATAAACGCAGCGAGCATTTAGTGTCTCTTAAAACACGACTAAGTGGTGACCACCATGTTTAAACACTTCATGTTTGATCTTTTATTGTGAAAAACCTCAGCTGTTTCTCAGACATTATTCTCTCTTTTTTTTCCTCATTTTTAAAAACAGTGAACTCTTAAAAATTAAATCCACTGTTGGACTCATATATAAAAATATACAAACGCCTGAGTGCAAGAGCAAGACTTCTGTTGCTGCTTTGTAGATTTAGGCTTATTTAAACATCTACTAGACACTTTTTTGAGAAGAAATTGTAAATAAGTTTTCTGTAAATATATATAAAAAACACACATCTGGGACTTAGAGACCGGAGGAGGACCTTCCTCCTGATGATGCTGGACTTGTTTCAGTTGTATCTAGAATTAAAGCATTTCCAACCAAACCGGCTTCTGCAAACATTTATTTAAATACAAACATGACATCACGATGCACGGCGGCCAGGAGAAAAATAACATCCAGATACAAATTGCCCCYTCTGTGCTCGACGATTTCGTTTTCGACTGCACAGAATTCACTCCGAGCCACAAAGAAACTTCAGTTTTGTTCACAAAAAGACCAGAAACTGATGAGGACGAGAGTTTTGTTCTGGAAACTGAAACAGGCTTCAGCTGTAGAAGCCATAAAACATCAAAAACAATCAGTTCTTATTCCACAGTTGGTCCTAAATACATCAAGATAGTCTTGATTAAAAACCTGTGCTGTCCTCTAGATACTGCAGATCACATATTTATATATAACCTTATTTTATTTATATTTATAGGAAGTCTAAGTGGAAAATGTACAGTTTTTACCACTAAAAGATGTCTTTTTCCMCACATCATTATGTCAAAGTTCAAACAAACCACTACTGAGGAACAGGCAGCCCTGAGTCTTTGATGATGTCATCAGAGGACTAAAAAACAAGCTTGTTATTCAGGAACAATGATTATACTGGATCCATGATTCCCTTTAAGTCATTATTTCGTCTGTGCACATGACCTGCAGACCTTCTGGTTCATAAAATACTCCATATTTACAWCTGTAAAAGCAATAAAAATAAAGTTACACACTCATGCAAACTGAGTTAAATATCTGAAATGGCACACAGAGCTTCACACAAGCGTCACTTTGGAAGCTGCATGGTTCTGTGAGGATAAAAGCATGTCGAATGTAACAAAAACTGCAGCGAAGCGAGGAGCCAGGACTTAAAAAATAAATAAAAAAGCCACTGATGTGAGTCAAATCTGTGATTTCTGAGAAATAAAACTTCAGAGTGCAGCAGCGACCAATCAGAAAGGACCTGAGGGTTMCAGAGAATTTACAGGCTTGAATTATTTAAAAAGAAAAAGAAAAACGTTCTGGTCTCACGGCTCATAAACTCGACTACAGAGGACCCCGTTGTCCAGATTTATTTCTACTAAATCCTACTTTAATCTCATTTTTGAAGAGGAACTTATAAAATTTATTGCACAAGTCCTTTTTTTTTTTTTTTACAAAATTTTCTCAGTGCAGAGAGGAAATGTTGAGACTCCTCAGGATTTTCCTTCTGAATATTTCACGTTTTAAACCTGAATAAAATAAAGTCGTGTTTTGCTTCGATCTGTAAGGTTTCAGTTAATTCAAGTCATCATAAATGCTGGAAATAAAAGCTGATGAGATTTTGGGCTTCTTCTTTTTGGTCGGTAAACCTGAATGACTCTGAGAGCCGCCGCCGCCGCCGCCTTCAGTCAGACCTCCACTTCCTGCGGCGCCGCTCAGACCCAGAGCCGGTTTCTTGTTCTTGGGCCTCCGAGAATCCGAATGGTTGGTGCCTGTGAGACGACACAGACTTACTTAGACTAACTGGGGAAAAAATGCACTTTTAGGAGTGGTTTTACTACATCAGGTGTTTCTTTTGCTGGAATTTGTTATCTTGTAATTATGTTATMTATTTGTATTGATTTTRGTCTTTYAAAAKAGSAGATRTTTTGTGTTGTATAAAGTACCACAAAGTGATACTTGAGTAAAAGTACAAGTATCTTACCAAAAAATTACTTTGGTAAAATTTAAAGTCTCCTTTAGGAATATTACTTGAGTAAAAGTCTTAAAGTATCTGATTTTTTTTGTACTTAAGTATTAAAAGTCAAAGTATAGATTTAAAATGAGCAGTTAGATTTTCTGTAAGGACATTTATTAGGAGGTGACCTCCCCAAAAACTGCAGAAATGACTGTTGTATTAAAAGAATGAATGGATGTTAAATMTAGGATGCACTAGTCCAGCTGTTTCAGTTTATATACATATATCAAGGCTGCACAAAGCTTTTCCCCAAAATGAAAATCTATCTGAGGGCTGCGGCCAAATGTAAGAATATAATTCATGAAATACAAATACTTCTTAAGTACAGTCCTTTTATTTGAATGATTCTGTCCTGCTGAAGTGTGACATGATTTGTTTGTGTACAAACTAATACACTATCAGAGTTTTATATATTTATACTTCTCATTCAACCACAGTTAAATTCACTCTATCTAGGAGGCACAGTTTATATGGATAATTTTTATTTTTTATAATAACAAGCTGGAATGAAAACAAGCAAAAATGAAATAAAAGTAAAGACTTTCTATTTCTTGTCTTTTTAAAAAATGTAAGGAGTAGAAGTAAAAAGTAGGCCGAAAATAAATTACTTAAGTAAAGTACAGATACCCAAAAATTCTACTTAAGTACAGTAACAAAGAATTTGTACTTGGTTACTTTACAACTCTGCAGAATTTGCACATAACTTTCTACTTTTTGTCAGTCGGATGACATCATTTTTAAATATTAAATCTGATATTATCTCCCTCTGCTAATATTTATAAATCCTCTGCAGTTTAATAAATATAATCCCTCACTGGCTTTAGACGATGCTGAGTCAGCGGGGGAAATATCAGACGAGTCGTCCCACTGCAGCCGGCTCATCAGGCTCGGTCCGTCAGCGGCTTCAAAGCTGTTGCTCTCCGGCTCGACGTCGGGCAGCGCCGGCCTGAAAACACACAAACACAGACGACAAAAAGGTGAAAACAGAACAACAAAATAAAAAAACGACACTAAATTAAAGCAGTTTCCCGCTCGTCTGCTTCATCTCAAGTGTTTCAGCGAGGCGGACTCACGCGGACGGCCCCAGGAGGAACACCCTGACGGTCCTCCTCTGCTCGTCCGTGTGTTGGGGACATCGCTGAGACCTGAAGGGACACAAGGTGGCATGACTGACGGACCACCCACACCCCCCACTCCCTACACATATCCTCATGTGCTCCGACGATGGAGGGGGTTCTGGTGTGAGTTAGGGAAATTAAAGGCAGCTCCTAGATTTTTTTTTTTTATTATTATTTATGAGGTAAACCAAATAAATAAAATAAACTGAGCTGCCACCTCTGAGTCCCAACAAATTWAAAAACTGACTCATCTGCTATAAGACAGAAAACTTCACCAGGTCACGCTAACCGTGAGCTACAGAGGTTTGTCTTTATATTTACCTGTTACACATCTTCTTGGTGTGCTCAGAGATCACCCCACATTGCTGCAGAAACAAACCAAATATTAATGTTTCCGTCAAAGCTGAGGAACAAATATAAAAAAAAAACGTCTCTCACCGTCGTTAACACAGACCGGATTTCATCGGGGCCCAAGCTTTCGTAATTGATACCCGTGTTGCAGTTGTACTGAAGGAAAAAATAAAAATAAAGCATCAATTTCTGCACAAATCAATAAAAAGCTGACAAACTGGAAGAAAAGTCACCTTGAATGTCTCTGAACTGATGCTCCCGAGCTCACCTGAGAAAAACAAACAAACAAKAGAAACTTTATTGTGAACGCTTCACAATCATTCACACTATTGAGATCTTTTCTTCTTTTAGGTACGTATTCTGTTCCGCAATTTTTGTGCTATTTTAACAWWTCATGTATCAAAACGTTCAGCTCCTGCAGGACATTCTGACTACGACTTTTAGTATTTCAGCTATTTATGCGTTTTTAGTTATTTCACTTTTTCGGCCACATTTTTCCCATTGAAAAAAATTTATGTTGAAATGTTTTCAATATAAAAAACAGCTACATTTTTGCTCATTTTAGTTTTTTCTGCTATTTCAGCTATAATTTGGCTTCTTTCTGCTAATTTATACGTTTTTGTGCTTCTTTCTTCCAATTTGAGCTGTTTACGCTTCTTGCAGTTGCTTCTATTTGGGATCAATAAAGTATTTTTGAATTGAATTAAAATAAATTTCTGCTATGTTCAGCTACAGTATTTGCTGCAACTTTAGCTAATGTTCAGCTGTTATTAGCTACATTTAACTTTTTAAGCTAAATGCACATCTTGGTGACTATTTCAGCTTTTTTTCTGCTTAGTTCAGCAAACCTGTGCTCCTTGTTCTTCCTTGTGCTAATTTAAGAATTTTCAGCTACATTTTAACTGTTTTACTGCACTTATGTGACGTTTTAGCTATTTTACAACAAAATGTCAATTATTATTATTATTATTTTATAATTTAAATTAGGACAATACATATTAATCAACATGTCAGCAGTAYGAATTAATGTAAATATGCCAAAGTTAGCACAACAGCTAGTTTTCATTTGTTGTATTAAGGCAGGTGAGAACAAGAAGCATTTCATTAAAAAGAGTAGAGAATAATGCAAACATCACCTATTTAACACATAAACAAAATGAAGTTAAAGGATAACAAAACATACAGTAATCTACATATAGTGATATAGAATATAGTTATAGTAATTTTGCACTTTTATATTATTTTCTGTTAGTTGAACAATTTTATACTCCTTTCACCATCTGGGTGCTATTTTCAACTACCTTTAGCTTGTTTTTATGCTAATTTTAGCTGTTTTCTGCTTTTTCAGCTATCTTTCTGTTTTTTTTCAGCTATTATTCTGCTGATTTTAATTTTTTATGCTTTTAGTTTTTCAAATTGAACTTGCATTAACTGTTTTGCGAAACCTTTTCAGCAGCTTTCAGCAACAGGCATTCACACAAGCATTTTCTCAGGAAATGCAATTTCTCCAGTTCTAAATATAAAATAATGTTCAAATCTTTTTTTATCATAAAAAAATCCTTAATCGCCATGATGAACACCTCTGAGATGGTTTATCTTGCTTTGGTTGGCGTCTATTTTCAACTTCCTGCGACTGAAAAAAAAGCTGTCTATCCCAGAACATCCTGCTCTGCAGTAAGAGGGTTTCCAGAGAGTTAATCCTCCTCCACAGAAGCAGACTGTAAACCTGAGCTGCTCACCGTTTTTATGTTTCAGAGGTTTGGATCTTCTGGGAGAGTTCTGATTCTGTTAAAAAAAAAAAAAAAAGGGGGGAAACGTGTTGAAGTGAAAGCTTATTACAGAGAACACGACAACACTTTGTGCTATAAATACCTTTTCTGACTTTCTCTTCTTGGCTGCAAAATAAGAAGCTTGTTTATTTAGTGGAAAAACATTCAGGAGCCATTTTTAATGAGTCCACGCAAAGCAGCGTTCACCTTTCTTCTCCGCTCCGTATGACCAGTCGTTGTCGTTAGCATCGTCGTTATCTTCCTGATCGCTCTCGGATTTGCTCGTGTTGTTGTTGCTGGCGAGCCTGATTAAAAACAAACGGTTTCAGATGAAAAAAAAAAAAACAACAACAACGAATGAATCGATGAATCGGTTTCGGTGCAGCTGGCCGACCTGCGGCTAGCGATGCGGCTGCTGTTGCGCCCCATCCCCAGACATTTCTCCAGATGCGGAGCGAAGCGGGACGCCGCGATCAGCCGCCTGCAGCTGGGACACTCGCACTCTTTGTTCTTCCACTGGCTGAACCCCTTCCCGAAGACATCCACGCCGGGCTGATCCACGATCTCTGAACAAAACGCACGCACACACACAGACACACACACGATGAGAACACAACGGGACGAACAGACCGGCCATGAGCGACGGCACCAACCGAACTCCTTCATGCTCTCCTGGTCCGTCTCGTCCAAGAAGAAGTAGCCCTGCTTGGCGGCGCGGTGCACCTCGAAGCACAGGCCCAAACAGGCGTCTTCCACCAGCTCCGAGTAGATGTCCTGCATCAAGGTCTGCAGAGGCAAAAACAAAACGTTACGCAAAACTACGTGTTCTGGACGACTCTCAGCTACTACCACGTCAATTTTTAGCTCAATGTCTYCGAAACTGACAGAGTTGTGTTTTTTAAAACGAGCAGGCTGTGGTGGCCATCTTTGAACCTGTTCTACCATAAAAGTCGACCAGTTGAAGATAACCATCCAGTGATTACTTCCTGAAAGTTTCATTAAAAGACGATCACTGGTTCATGAGATATTTTGCTAACAGACACGTTAGGATGTGTGAGTGGGTTTACCTCCAGCTTGGTGTTGTCTGGGCCTGAGACACGCATTTCCTCCATTTTCATTTGAAAACCTGTGCTGTAAATAATGACAGGAAGACAAAATTACAATTAAACTGATTTGAGTCAGATTTAAACCAGYAAACAGCTACTTTTAAAAATTAACTCTTCTTGTAGTTCTACCTTCATTCTGTTAAAGAGATGAATGTCAATAAATAATGTTTTAAACCAGATTTCTCCTGAATTAACAAAAAAAAAACAACAACAATAATCAATGGATAACAGCAAAGAAACTGAGTTATTTCACATTTATTCCTTTATTTTTCATCATTACTGTCAGAATTTAACATAAAACTGTATTTAAGTGCAAATAAAAAGCAGGTAACGTTGGTAAAACATGACYTTTCTTACCCTCCTGTCAAACTGAAACCTCAGCCTGAATCAGGCGGTTTCTCTGAGAGGAGCAACATAACCGGCTCAGATCAAACAAACCGCGCTCGAGCGGCCGCCATTTTATATTTTCACGACTTCAACATCTTCCTCGTCTTGAAACGATGAAGATGAATGTCGCAGGTGTAGGTTGACCAGAGCTAACGTTAAATAACAAGCTGTTTGACAGTAAAAAGGCCGACCCGAGAAGGAAAGAAAATCAGAAATGGTGAAAAAAAAACTGTGTCCGGTTTTGACATTTCAAAATAAAAGTCTCAAAAGAAGTTCAAGTTTATGAGRAAAACAAATTTGTCTCTTGAGAATGTTCGTGCATATTTTCTATGGATTTTTATTCTCGTACCCATCCTTTGTTCCAAATAATGTGTTCAATTAACAAAAACAGAGATTTTGCAATCATATTTGAGCTTTCAGAGGCGTTTGAAGTTTTACGTTGAAAGTTTAGGCACGTACTTCCGCTTATACCGGAAATGACCGACTATAAACACCTGAACGATMATTCTTGTTCTTCAAACTACAATCTATTAGTTGAGTCTGGTSTGCTGTTTTTCTCCGATTTTGTTTATAAAAAAAATATTTTACAATTTGAGATGTTGCAAATTAAGGAATAATTCTGTTTTGTTCATAACATCTAAGCTTGTGCAGTTAACACCTACTGCTTGCCGAAGGGGCTGCTTCTTAGCAGAACATCTCCTTAACCAGAGGCCAGCTTTTAATTAAACTTATATGAATGTATGTATATTGTGTGGTAATCCTCCCCACAAACTGAGGGTTAATCTTGTTAAAAGAATTTGTGTTTAGTCTTTTAACACAATAATCTATACCCTTCGAGGTTAAGAACACAGCCATTTTTTAAAGTATTTTTCTTTTATTTGCTCAAATACTTAAACTACAAGGACATAAGAACACCCTCGCCTATATAAAACATCAAATCCTGTCAAATGACCAGCAGTACAAACCTGTAAAGCTTTGCTGTCGCATATATTTCTATAAACCAACACAAGGAGAGAAGTAAAACGGGTGATTTCAACCAAAACTCTCCTCCTGTGAGTGAAATCACAGATGAAAATTAAAAGTACTAACAAAACAATAAACACTCAATACAAAAAAACAAACAAAAACTATTTACAGAAAAACATTACACTTTACACCTCCAGGTCCTTTAGTCGCTCAAGTCCTCAAATCCCTTGTTTTGTTCCTGTCAGTTTGCTCTTCTCCATGCTGGTTTAGTTTCAGAGAATAAGGTCAAAATCTCTGCGGAGAGCTGCAACGTCCGGAAAAACTCAAAGTTCAGAAGTCCCATCGTCAGTCTGTGTTCTGGTAATCAATGGCATGACAGCGAAGACCTTTGGGAAAACGAAATATCTAAAAGACAAACAATATCTACATTCATGTTTGTATGACGTCCTACACGGGCGCAGGTCTGCAGCTGCGCTCGTGTCACGGTTTGCAACGAAACGGCAAAAAGAGTCCACAATAAAGCAAAACACACACACACACACTCACTCTCTCATATATACATCGTACTGTGCATGCACACGCAGAGAGACGGGTGTAATTGCACCTTTTTTTTCTTTTGGGATAAGCAGACAACCCCCTAAATGATTACAGCTATTAAAATTTAAATTAACTTGAAAACAGATAAAAACCATTCAGTTGGCTCAAAACAGAAATCTTCGCAAAATGAAATATTTCGGGGGGGAAATAAATGCAGGTTTGTAATTTGCAGAGGAGGAAATGTGCCTTTAAAGACGTTCAGCTCCATCGTTTTCGTCAATTCGTGTTTTTGACCTTAAATTTGGTGTTTTTGTACAGATTAACTGTAGCTTTGAAGAAAAATCTCTGCACTGAATTCATGTGGGTTCACTCACAACTACAACAAATTCAATTTACCACTTTTTTTTTGTAAACTGGTGTCCAACCTGCATCAAAGTAAGACAATAAAACACAAAGTCCACGGGTTTATCTTTACAGAACAGGGGGTGAAGTAAAGAGATTCGACAACTTCCAGCAAAAAAAAGAAACATTCATAATGGCTTGACTTGCTTTTTTTTTCCTGAAAAAATACCACTTCTGTAAGAACCAAACCAAAATATCTACATCGTATCTTGAGAGTACAGAAAAGGAAGAAAACCTATGGAAGAAATATTACAAAAAAAAAAAACATTCAGAGTGCAATTTTTCTTTTTTTTCTTCTCTCTCTCTCTCTCTGTGTCCCGCACACACACCCGTCCCCTCCTGAACTGATCCACCGAGCTGTGTTCTTTGGCTCTCTGAAGCCCGTTTACAACTCCTGCTACTGGGAAAAAAATAAAACAAGAATAAAAGAAAACGCCGGAGGGTAGCCCTAACTTTTACCGTGTAACTGAACGCGGGGGGAGAAACGTTCGTGACATCACCAAACCAGTGGGATGTTTTTGGTTCAATGTTAACTCGTCCTGGGAGGGAGACGATTCCAGGGTCTCCTCCCACTGTGGGTGAGGGTCAGATGGATGGAGCAATATGTGTGTGTGTGTGTGGTGGGGGGAGGGGTGGGGGGCAGGGTTGGCACAGCGGCGGACCTCCCTGGGCTCTTGGCTCAGATCAGCGCTGTTCAGTTCGTCTCGACTTCAAGACGGTTTCAGTCTGAATCCGAGTCCGACGATCCAGAGTTCGACTCGCTGCTGCTGTCCTCCGACTTGTTTTCTTTGTCGTCCACTTCATCGTCYTCGTCATCATTGTCGTCGTCATCATCATCACCCTCATTCTTTAAAACAAAACAACACAAGGATTAAAACACTGGAGGTGTACAGAACTAGAATGAGTGTCCAACTGATCTGCTGTAGAAGCTGCAGCACTAAGCAGGACAGACACGAGTCTGGATTTAAACCTTACATCTTTTTAAACCTCTGCCAGTTTAACACTCACCTTTACACCCTTTCAAGCTGTTTATCAAACCTGAGCTGCTTGAATTTCAAATTTAAAAAAATGGGAAAACTAAGGTGTGGTGCATATTTAGTTATTTTACATGATTGTTAGCAATTATATCAATTTGTAGCAAAAATATTACAAAATAATCGCCATTTTTGCTCCTCCGTGTTGCAGAAATGGGAACTCGTGACTCGGACTTAAGACTTGAGTCGCACTTAAGTCCCTACTATTAGAGACTTAGACATGACTTGGACCCTAAAGACTTGAGATTTGACTTGGACTCGTGGTTTGAAACCCGTGAACAATGCAAGTCTTTTCACTCCCTCGATACACATCCATGCTCCACTCCCCCTCGCCCGAGAACAGGAGGGGCCAGCTTCGTCCAATGTTAATGACACGTACCCTACGTGACGAACAGAGCTTCAGCATGGCGCCTGTGTTGCAGTARATTCATTATAAGCTTTGCTTACAGAGACTTTATTCAACGCCATGACAAGAGACTGGCAAAATGCAACGTGTAGAGRCCAAATCCAAAATGTGTTTTTGTGATGACTTGTGCAACCGTTTTCCTTTAAGGATACTTGTCCATCCTCTTCACTGACATGCTTTTATGCATTTAAAAATATTTTTTCTGGTATTTTATTGTAACATCAGCAGCAGACTTGTTGGATTTGTTCTTTGTCAATGGCAAGATATAATTACAGTAAGAATACAAGTACAAAATACAGTTAACAATACTCTAAATGCTTGATTGTTATTTCAACCATAACCATATCTGTATTTTTAAAACAGTATTATGTTTTAATTATACTATTAAAATATAATACTAATCTAGTATAGTTAGAATAGCTTTGATCAAACTGTCAGATAAGTTAAACAAGCAATGAGACTTGGACTTGAGGTCAAAAGACTTGAGACTTGAATTGGACTTGTAAAAAAAAGACTTGCGCACACATCGGTCATATTGCCACAGATTCTAACAGTAGATGGGATGGGCGGGGCTCAGTCTAGTGTTCCTTAACTCTATGTTAAAACCGGAATAATTCTCAGCCTTTACTTTTGATCAGTCTTTACTCTCATATCCTCATCATCAGAATCGCCCTCATTCTTTAAACAAAACAAAGATTAAAACCCACGGAGGTCTAGTTTCACCAGACTGTGTGATTTAATGTAAAAGCAGCGGCACTTCGCAGATAAACCACGAGTCTGCATTTATTATTACTGTACATGTTGGCAACCTTTTGGGTAAATATGCATCTTTTTAAATTGAGCTGCTTGAATATCAAATAGAAAAACTGGAAAAAAAGAAGGTGATCCAAACGTTTGACCGGTGGTGTTTATCTGTTGTTTTATGATTGTTGGCAATTATATTCATTTATAGCAAAAATATTACTAAATATTAGCAACACAGATCCAGTTGCTGTTAATCAAATAGCTGCTATGATGACTGTGAGCCGTCACCACTACAGTAGATAGATTGTGCAAGGCTCACTCTCGTGTTATTTAACTCCATGTTAAAACCAGAATAATGCTTATCCTTTACTTTTAATCAGTCTTTACTCACATCATCGTCATCATCGTCGTCGTCCTCCTCACTGGACGAATCTGCATCAGAAGAAGCCTTTTCCTGCTCGTCGTCATCGTCATCCTCAGAGTCGTCGTCGTCGTCATCATCATCATCATCCTCATCCTGCTCTATAGCCTGTTAGAGAAACAGTTTTTGATGAGGACTTCAGTTTTACTCCCAGATTGAAAACATGAATGTTAGGGATAATTTAAAGCAGCCAGTGAACCTAAGTGTGAGTGAAATGTTTGCTTCTGTGTGGTTCCTATTTTCTCAGTTCTCTTGTAATTGTATCAAATAGCCTCGAACAGATGAAGACTCACAGCTTTCTTTGGCGGAGGGGCTCCAGGTTTGGCTCGGATTCTTCTTTTCTGTAAAAAAGATGATGATTTAAAAACAATCAAACTGAAGAGAAGATCCTGCGAAAACACAAACTAAACTTACCTGTGAGTTATACTCTCTGTACGTGTTTCTCTCTTGTGAAGATAAGCTCTGTGAACAGATCAAAACCAATGTTAAGAGTTTCTCAAAAAGCCCTTTTCAGCGTTTCTCAGTTTCCCACCAACATACAGAGAGCCACTGCTCCAGCAGGACTTTGTACTGCCTCTGCTTCTCCTCTGCGATCTTTCTGTAACGGTCCTTCTCCTTCTGCGGACACCTCTGCCACCGGCTGCCTATCTCGGCCATGCGCTCCTTCATGGGGAGGTGGTTCAGCTCCCCGTTGGACAGCATCTCCTGGGAGAACTTCTGGTATCCGTTTCTGTTGAGCAGAACCAAAGAAACGTCAGGGTCTGTTAGTGAGAACCGCTGTTCAAACAGAGGAACTGGACTCACGATGGTGGTTTCTTGGGTTCCCCTTCGAACTTCATCTTCTTCATCGACGCGACGTTGGCGGCTGGAGAACGCATCTCACACAGATCCCTCTGCGAGAGACAGATAGGTGAGCTAGAATCCTCACTGCTGCTGAATATTACAGTAAGTTATTATAACCTCAGGAGCTAGAGGTTTGTAAAGCCCAAAATTTGAAGGAATTTGAAGGACCGATGCAATAAGACTGTGGAATGATCCGGAAAGTGATTATAAAAATGCTGGCTCAATAATTTTTTTAAAAGAATGATAATAGTTTGTTAAAGAAATATGAATTTGTATAATGTGCATTCATAAGAATCAAGGAGTTGAAGTTTTTGTTAAATTTTGTTATTTGAAGATTATTATTATTGTTTGAATTTATTTATTTTTGGAAAAAGAGGCAGATATTAAGATTTTTTCTTCTTTCTGCTGCCTTTCATTTTATTTTATTTGTGATTTGTATTATTTGTTGTATGTATAGCATTTGTTTTTTTAAAGAAACGAGTAAATTTACTAAAACAATACATAAATAAATAAAATATTCATGCTGTGGAACGTTGGTGCTAACCTCATATCTTTTCTGGTCTTCTGCTGCTTTTTTGATCCACATGATCTTCTCCTTCTTCTCCATGGAGCTCCAGACTGTTTCCATGGCTTTCTGTGCTTTCGGCCGATCGTTCTGCGGAGCGCAGCCTCGTTATAGAATGATGCAGCTGGTTGTAGCTTTTAGCTACTTTTCTCAAACTAAAGAGTCGTACGGACCTTAAACCGGGCCAGGTAGTCTCCGATAACGCTCTGCTGCCAGATCTCCTGAGCCGTCTTGGGTGGATCTGGCAAACGGCTCCGATCCTCCCTCTCCTTCTTCTCCGACTCGGCTTTCAGCACCATTTCTAAACGTTTATACTTCTCCTAAATCGCACAGAGAACGATATTTAAAAACCACCGTTGTGATGTATTTTTAAAATAAAAATTAAACGTTGTTTGCTCGTTACCTTCTTCTTGTCTGGCAGCTCGTTCCACATCCGCGCCAAGAACCTCATGAGCTCGCTGTCGGAGAGGTCCGGCCGCTCCTGCTGCAGTTTGGGACGCTTCTCCTCAGCAAATATGAACATGGCAGAAATGGGCCTTTTGGGCTTCTCTGAAGTGGGCTGCAAACGTCACARGAGGCAGCGATTCATAAATACGCAACATTAACTCGGATCAGAAGATCGCGCCAAAATGAGCAAAATAAACATAAATGTGACCCATCATATCTGAAATGAGGATTAAGTAAAATTTGGTCAAAATGCCTTAATTATATTTGCAGATTCTTGGCTTCAAAAGCTACATTTTGATACCTGGATCATTCTAATATTATAAAAGGAACCAGAGATYTGCCCTAATTTGTCTTGTTGGTTACGATAATACATTAATATTTGGTCTGAATCCTAATTTTATGTCATTTTAATGAGGATTTTTTCATATCATTATGAAGAGGAAATGTCAAATAGTATTTGAATATTTACATTTCCCAGCTGGAAAGAAACAAGAACATTGATAACTCACAGGGAATATGTCAAAATTTAAATGTGTTTTTCCTCAAAATCAGTTTTTTTGTTGCTATTGCTCAAAAAAAATGCTTAAAATATTTTTTAATGATTGTATTTCACACAGTTCATTCAAATGAAACAATGATAAGGCATTCTTGAATCTTTTGTTATATTTTGACGAAATGCAATTTTTTATAAGTGTTTTAATCAAAACAGTATATTTGCCTATTTCTCCATATACCAGTTTTAGACTTAATCCTCGTTTCGATGTGAAGGGTCACAAATTTTAAGCATGATTTTACGCCCCCCTCAGGCTTACCGTTGTTTTAGCGTTTTTCTTTTTCGATGCAGAACTGCTGGCTCCACCACTCTTTTTAAAACCCGTCTTCTCTTCGCCCAGAATTCGCTGCTGCTCCACTTCTGATATCGTCTGAAAAATCCCACAAATCAAAGCTGAAATAAAGCAAACAATAAAACTGGGAAGGTAAGGATTACGGAGAGAAAAAAAAAACTTACGCTGAGAAATTTGTTCATATCGACTTCATACTCCCGTTTCCTCTAAAAAATAAAAGACAAAATTAGATGAAAGTGAAGGTTTGTGTGAGGCTCAACGTGACGAAGYTGAACTCACCTGCTCGCAGCGTTTCTGGTAGGCATCCTTCTCGTTCTGTTTCAGCAGCTTCCACCTCTGGCTGCACATCACCATGCGCTCTGTGCTGGGAACGTCCTTCATGCTCGACATCAGCTCCGCGCAGAACATRGAGTAGCCGTTCCTGAAAGCAGCGAACACCATTAAAAACACCCGGGGGACTCGTTCTGGTCCACAAACCGTCCGAGACTTACGGAGGAGGTTTGTCGGGTCGGCCGTCAGATTTGTCTTTAAGGTGCCGCTCGGCCTTGGTCAGGGTGGACTTGACTATGTCCTCCTGGGTCATGTTTAACTCGGGGTGCTGCTGGATGTACTCCCGCATGGTTTCCTACATGAATACAWTCAACACTTAGAAAAGCTTTTGTGCTGACAAAACGTGTGGTCATCAGAGGAAARAAAACTCTCCTCACCTCGTACAGTTTCTGCTGCTCCAGGGACTTGGAGATCCATTTGAGTCTCTTCTTGTCTGACAGCTGTGTCCACTGTTTACCAAGACTGTCCTTAATATCTTTGGTGGTGGCCTGGATTCAGACAGAGACAGTCAACATCTCTGCAAGATCCTAGCCTCAACTAAACAGTAGGTAAATGCTAAGTGCTAAAGGACTGAAGCTAAAAAAACAAAAAGTTAAAAAGAGATAAACAGAAGCAAATAAGAGCAGAACAAAGGCTAAAAGCTAAAAAAAATTTGTCACTTAAAGGGTGAAAGCACAGTGACTAAAAACTAAAATTAGTAAAAAGCTAGCTAGAAGCTAAAAGCAGAACAGTGGCTAAAGCTAAAAATATATTTATGAAAAGGTTGGACAAAAGCTAGAAATGCCAAAGCTAGCTAAAAGTAGCAAAAGGTTAAGTGAAAGTCCAATGTTTGTGAATAGTAGCTAGAAGCTAAAAACATCTACGTTACTCAAAAATAAAAAAGCAAAACTTTAGCTAAAAAACTATTAAACAATAGCTAAAACTAATAGTAAATGGCTACCTAGAGGCTAAAACCTAATGAAATCCTAAATATTGGTCAAAATCTACGTTGGGAAAACTGTGGCTTAAAGTATAAAAGTCTAACTAAAAGTCCAATAACTGTAAATAGTAGCTAAAATAACAAACAGCTAAATGACAGCAGTAAAACACCAACTAAAAAAAGAAAAAACAAATCAGAAAGATGGCTAAATCCAAAAAGGCTAGCTTGAAGCTAAAAGCAGAACAGTGGCTAAAAGCTAAAAATATATTTTTACCAAAATGGTGATCAAAAGCTAGAAATGACAAAACTAAAAGGTAGCAAAAATAAAGCCAGCTGAAATCCAATATTTGTGAATAGTAGCTAAAAGGTAAAGCAGCTATGTTACTAAAAACAATCAGCAAAACACTAGCTAAAAAAATTGTAAAAAAAAAATCAGAATGGCTAAAAATTAAAAGTTGTAAAAGCAAGCTAGAAGCAGAACAGAAAAACCAAAATGCTACTCAAATCTAAACTGGCAGAACAGTGACTAAAAGCAGCAAAAGGCTAGCTGAAAATCCAGAATTTGTGTATAGTAGCTAAAAGCTAAAAACAGTTACGCTACTCAAAAATAAAAGTAGCTTAAAAAAACCTTTCAAAATCAGAATGATAGCTAAAGACCAGTAGCAAACGGCCACCTAGAGGTTAAAAGCTTAAAAAAATAACAGAAAGAATAAAGAGGCTGAATAAAAGCAGCTAAACTGTAGCTAATATTAGCAAATAGATAATTGAAAGCAAAGTTAGATAAAAGTATTCCAAGCTCATAGTTTTGATGTGTGAATGTTTAACCCTGCTGCTGTCCTTGGATCAGAATGAGGCCRGTTTTAAAACTTGGGCCTTGCAGGTTATTTTGACCCAAAGAGCAGCAGAAGTAGCTTGACTGCAAAGAAACGTATGGAAGAAACAACAAACATGAAAACAAAAAGCGTTTCAGAATTAAGCGTTTAGTCAGTTTGTCTCTAAGCTTACATCAGGATGCCCCTTGAGGAAGGCCTTCTTCTCATGGTTGTACCACAACTGTTGGGGGGTTTTGGGCTTTTCTGGAACATTTGAACCTTTCTTGGTCATGCTCTCCATAAGGTCTGGATGTTCTTCCCTGTTTGCACATCACAAAGCAGCGGTTTTAGCCAGATATTTCTGAACATTTAAAACCAAAATACTATGTATTTGACCTCACCTGAACCTCATCATGCTGTGTACGAACGCCTCCTTGTCACGCAGGAAGTCGTCCACATACTTTTTCTGTCACAAAAAGAAAATTCAGTTTAAATTGCATCAAAAAGCRTTAATGTTTGTCTTAAAGTCTTCCTGTTCTCTGACAGACCTTCTTTTTGTCGGGGAGCTCCCTGTACTTCTTGGACAGTATTTTAGTGAGATCCAAGTTGCTCATCTCAGGGTGCAACTTTGCATATTTGGCTCTTTTTTCCATGAAGAAACGGAAGTATGGAGTCAAAGGCTTCTTGGGAAAGTCTGGATGCTTCTGTTTATTGAAGAGATAAAAAATGATTTAGTCCAACGCTTCACTCGTGAATCTAGAGGTTACAATTAATTTTTTTATTCAAACTCACCTTTAGTTTTTTGCCTTTATAAGGGTTTTTAATGTAGTCCTGAGCATCAAATATCAACTCCGTTAGAGTTCTGAATTTACGAATCTTTTGGGCAGAAGGAGAAACAACTCGTTCAGCTRGGCTCAAATGCGTCCGAGCAGTTCCGCAACCAAAACGTCACCGCTTAACTCACCTCTTTAGACACTTCCTGCCATTTCTGCTTACACATCTCTGCCGTGTAGGAGTTGAAGGCTACCTTCTGCCAGTCCAGGTGGGACTCGGACGTCTTGTATTTCGTCAGGTCCTTCTGCGGCAGGGCCACTTTCATGGCTTCCAYCAGTTTTAGGAGGTCATCCTGCGCCCACACTGTGAGATTACAAAAAAAAAAAACATGACTAATTTAAAATCTGGCCTTGTGCCGGACCGTCCTGTGGTGATGACTGAGATCATCTTACGTTGAGAGAAACAACAGTTTTAATTAGAAATTACCTTCAGCTACTTCCACATCTAATTTTAGTCCTATTTCTAAAATGTGGCTACTTTTCAGCCATTCTTTTTGTGTTTGCTTAATCTCATTAGCTGTGGTGATCCTGTAGYATTTTCCTAATGTTAATCAGTTGTAGATGAGGTTGATGTAGATTTACAACTTATACTTTCTGCAGGTTGGTGGTTCGTTAAATATTTTGGTAACAAACACTTCACCCTTTAGCTGCACATGAAAATTACTATTGTTTGAATTTATACTTGAGAAAAAAGGGGCAGATGTAAGATTTTTTTTCTTCTCTCTGCTGCCTTTTTTATAGTATATGGAATTTTGTTTTTGAAGAAATGAATACAGTTTGAAATAAACAAAATAAAACATGATAATAATTATATGTAGCAAAAATCAAATTAGATATTCTTTACTCAGTGGTTGCCAAACTTTTCAGGTTTTGACCCACAAAATAAGATGAACAGAACTATGTCCAGCTAATTTTGGTTGATATATATATATATATATATATACAGTATATATATATGCCAGTACTGGGTCAAATACAATTTCCCAATTTCCGTGAAGGAAAATCCCCAAGGGATTAATAAAGTATCTATCAAAATAAACAATATTATGCTACTTTTATCCATTTTAAGCCCACTAACGTCACCCTTTTGTAACCACTTAGGCAAAAAATTGTCATTAGTGGTCATTCTGAAATGTAATTAAATCAGGAAACCTTTGCAGGACCACAACTTTGTGTTTGGAAACCACTGCTTTACATTATATTTGCATGAAAAGTTAAGATTCATTTGAAAAGTACCTTGGTCTTGGGTCGCAACCTCCATTTCTCCATTCATTTATAACTACAGGGTGTTGGATCTAGAAAAAAAGACAAAAAATAACTTTTATTTTTCTTTTTAGGTGAAAGAAAATAAACTGTTTCCAAAAATTTAGATTGTAACCATGTGGTTTACCAAAAAAACGTGGATTTAAGTGATAATTTTAGGTTGAATGCGCGTCGACATAATGGTTTATGTTCATTACACCGCCCCTAAAACGTTTACGCTGCATGGTGAGACATAGCCTATTGCTTGTGACGGCTTCAAATCTCAAATAACACCGCAGAGGGCTTCAACTAAGCATATCCAGCCACGACTACAGGAGTCTCCGTCGAGCTTCTTTGACCTTTTTTTTCCCCCTTCCATCCGGAATTTAGCGTATTAGTGTTGTCCTTATTTCTCAACAAAAAGTAGCGGAGGACGCACCACAGCGACCATTTTGTCGCTCCGTCCGCTCGGTAATGGAGGATTGTTTTCTGTCGGGAGCGGAGGTTTTGGGGAGGATCCACGGGAAGGAGGAAGCGCATGTGGACGTGGACGGGACGAGGCAGCTGTAGGCGACCAGCTGACCCACGGACTTGCGGGGGGGAGGAAAGATCTGCTTTCCAGCTCTGGCCGACTGGCAGGAATGGCAGCTCGGAAGCGCTGCGGCCAAATGCGCCCCACTCGGAAGAGACGCCTCATCACCCGTTCCGACGCGGAGATCAAGCTCCGCCACGCGGCCCCCTTTTTTTTCTCTTTCTACTGTTTTCCACCAGTGTTAACCAGCCAGAGCAACAGCCGCTAAAATAATGAACTGTGCGTTTTGTGCTTTTAWTAACACACAAAAAACACTTTCGAGTTTTAGCGGATTTCGACAGCATTCTTCAACGAGGCGTAGCCGAGCTGCGCTCCAATGATGGCGGATGCCTGTTGTTCTTCTTGTCCTTGATGGCGCTAGCTCCATCGTAATGGTTTAAAAATATATWTTTTAAAAAACTTACAGATTTCGACGTTTGTTTCAAAGTAAAATAAACCAGAAACGCGATGACTACATGTAGGACGTCGAATATTGAGCATTTAATCGAAAACAACAACACGGATGTTTAAAAATAGATTTTAAACGCACGAGCTGCTGGAGGCAAACCTAGCAAAAACAAAAAGAAACTAAAGATTGGATTTCTACACATTTACGCGTTAATACTTTTTTCTGTTAAATTATCACCTGAGTTTAATTTATTACACATTTAAGATTTGGTGTTTACAAAATTCACTTGCTAAACTTGTTTTTATTTTATGTTATTTGTTCAATTTAAGAGCAGAATTTTAAAAGTATGAATCGAAAATGTAAACAATTTAGCGTCTCAGCGTTGACCTCATTCTAGTTTTCTTAAATTTAGTTTAATGTCGTTTTGGGAAAAAAAATTACAAGGCTAAACAGGCTCAAAGTTGGTCCCTTAAAGAATCGAGTATAAATCCCTAACAAGCAGCAGCAGCTCCGGGGTCCGCCGCCATGCTTTCAGCCCCGCTCAGCTCGAACGAGCAAACCTACCGTGACCAGGTCCAATGGCGCACTGCAAAGACTGAAAACGGAGCCGAGAGCCACCACCAGGGCGTTGCAGACTCCCCTTCCCCTTACATCCAAAAAGCGCATAAGCGAGGACGGAAAGGCGGGTTCTCCCCCAGCTCGGTTGTTGTCGGCGGCTCTGGGCTAGTCAGTGAGAGAGAGAGGGGGAGAGGGGAGGGCGGTGAGATATTAAACCGACATCCCTGATGGCTGACCGAGAGGCGGCTAGCTGTTCCGCGAGCAGCCGCGTGGAGGTCTCGGCGCGGAAACCACCGTGTGTTTTTCCTCCCACACTCGATTACACAACGAATCTGCACTTTAAAGCGAAGCGATTCGCTTCAGATAAACGCCGGACACGGTTTTAAGCTAACAATAACAACACGGACCTCCGAGTCCGATCAAAATTCTTCCCCCGCTGTTAAGAACAGAAATTCGGGTACGGCCGACCTCGTCCGCTACCCTTCCTCCACACCAGTCGGTTTGTTTCATAAACGCAAACAGAGCGATACGCTTTTAAAAGTTAAATAAATACGTAACGTATATTTCTTATTTTAGTCGCTTTAGTTGTATTTTTTAATTAAAAAAAATACCGACCGACTTCCGCTGCTAGCTTACCTGCTTGACTCGTCGCGAGCCTCGGCGTCGCGCTGTGGAGGAAGAAGAAGGGGAGGGTTGAACGACAGCCAGCTCTGCGCCGTCGGTCCCGGGCTCCAGTCCCCGCAGAGATGGTCCTTCCCCCCCGCCTCCATCTCACTCGCTCGCTGTCTCCCTGCACTCAACGCGCAGCAGCAGCAGCCCTCTTCTTCTTCTTCCTCCTCTCCCCATCCAACCATTTCGCCACGCAGACCAGATTTTTGTCCCCGAGCCGCCATCAGAGGGCCGACACCGTCACCTCTCCAAACCGAGTTTCGTGAAGTTGCACCAGTTTGTTTCACCTTGTGCGTTAGCGTTTAATTTAATGAATATTAATCAGTGTGATTTTATTCTTAAAAGAAAACCCTACGGACACGTCTCAATTCTTGTGTCCATGTCGTTTTCCCACCACCAAACCAAACACCACTTTACTTGGATTATAAGCTGTTTTGACGACTTCATTTTGGGCCAACTCGTTTTTTATTTATTTATTGTATTTTTTTTTCCTCCCTTCGTGTTCTTTTCAACTCCACCTTGTGTTTGTGGGCGGAACTTGCGGKGATCCAATCGAGTCGGTTCAATTCAAGGAAGCGAATGTCAGGCGCACGGTTTTGTTAAGCCGTGAGGCATTCACGTGCTGTCGGAAAAATGTGTATCCCTGACGTAAACCAGCTAAAATTAGTCTCAGGAGATTTATCAAGCTGTTAGGATTCCATGTAACGTGCCGATATTTAACTACATAATGATATCGTTTTTGTTTACATTTACTTTACATTGTCACTTTTCTTTGTCAGTGTCATTTACGTGATGTCAATGAAGGCATCATGGCTCATGTTGTAAAATGTAACCTAATTGCATTTGTTAATTAAAAAAAGAGAGATTTTTAAAGGCTGTTTTTTATTTTTAATAAAGTGAAATCCAAAGCATGTACAGTGTTTCAAGCACACAATTCTTTTTAGGCAACACAAAATGCATAAGTCATTTACAAAGAAAATTTCCCTGATATGTCCCAAGTGCAATCGACCCAAACATTAAAATCTATCTCAAGAATGGCCTCTTAATACTGCTTGCTGCATTTTATCATAATAAAAGCAATTACACACTAAAGTCAAATAGTTCATAAACATCCTAAATAGGTAATACTATTACATAAGTAATACACAACAAATTAAATGAAGCAAACTTGAGACACAACTTAAAACTTCAGCCTGAGGCTTCCTGATTAAATTAAGCTACTTAAAAATATTATCTCTGACAGATCTAAAAGTAATATATACTATACTGTTAGACGTTTAAAAAAATAAATACTTCTACTTAAAACAWGTTCTTGAAAAAAAAGCTACTTCAGATAAAAGACAAAAAAAAGTATCTCAATTTGATGTCCAAATAGAAAGTTTTATCTTGGTTGTGTGGTGACAAAAAATTAAAAGGAACAGTTTGAATTTACAAGAAAAAAATTGTTGATTTACGTTGAAGTTTGAGTCGTTTATGCCAAGCCACCGTCGACAGGTTCATCATCCAGTTTCACCTTGGCGTCATCTGCGTCCAGCTGCAGCACAAAGACAACAAACCTCTCACAGCTGACAGCTCGACAGGTGAACTGAGACAGGTGCAGACGGGTTACTTACACATTTCATCTCCCTGGTGGTGAAGACCCGGCCGGTCATGAACATGCGCAGAGGGATGGTGAGGATGAGGAAGAAGGGAAGAGCCAGAGAGAAGGGGCTCTGCTTCACAGCCCACAGGATGCCCAGACACACAACCTGGACCAGAGTGAAGAGGTGCATCCGCAGGGTCCTCACCTGCACAGACAGGACCACGTCGAAGAGGCTCAACATCCAAATACCATAAAAAATAATGTTTAAATCCAGGGCCGGCTGTAGCCAATGTGAAGCCCTCTGCAAGATTTCTGTTGGGACCCCTCGTGCAATTTTCTAAATCTCACTGCCATTTTCCACACACATACAAATTAAATAGTTTTGTCTTTGATATAACTTTTTATCTATACAAACCAGGTTGTTCAATTAAAGCAGTTAATATAATTTACTTAAAACAAATGCCTGCCAACATCTGGAACATGCAGCTGTGGACTGAAGCAGTTCTAGGGGGTCCAGGRGTWTAAAATATTGTAAAAGACCTACTCAAAACTCTGTATTTTTCTGCCATTTGAAGAGTATTTTACTAAATTCTTGGGATTAATAAAACAAGATAAAATCAGTAATTTGTGAAGTTAGAAGACTTAAAACCACAGTTTAAACTGAACTTAATCTGAGATCCGAACTGAAATTTCCATTATCCTGATTTTGTGAGAGATTATGAATCTTTTTATTTTTCATCTGTACGTTTTTCAGCAAGTATCGCATTTTGCAGTTTTTATGCTATTTATACAATTTATATAAATGTTCAGCTGCTACTATGATGCTTCAGCATTTTATACCGTATGAGATATTTRACTTTTTCTGTTATTTTATATATTCTCCTTAATATCCTTAAACCCCTTCAAAATATTTGTAAATCCTTACTGTACTTTTCACCATTTGTTTTGGTCCTTTTTTTTACCTTTTTTTTTTTACTTTTTGTGCAAATTTCAGCTTCCTTCACCTTCTGTTTAGCTGATTTTAGCTTCTTTCTGCTTTTAAAGCTATTATTCTGACCCTTTTAGCTATTCTAATTTAAACATTTATGTATTTCTTTKAGCTGTTTTATATGTWTTTAGCTACTTTTGGCTAATTTGAMTTTTTTCAGCTAAAGTCACTTTTTTGTGATAATTTCAGTTTCTTACTGTTTAATTCAGTAAACACACTCATTCTGTTTCTTTACTAATTTCAGCAATATCAGCTACCTTTTAAAGCTAGTTTAGGCAAGTTTCAGCTTTCACTATTCAGCACAAAAAGTCAACATTAAGCATTCACCCTGTATTTTTACAGATAATGCAACTTGTCAAATTTTTATTTTTTATTTTTACACTGAACACTAGTAATTCTTGCCTGCGTCARATACTTTTATCATGAAACATCCTCTGCACCAGATAACGCCMCATAGGAACAAAACAGAACAAGTTACCTTCATAAACCTGAGGAACCAGTGATTATTCTAGACCAAATCAATCAAACATTGATAAAGTTATAAAATACATATTTTTGTCTCCCATTTATGGCGCCCCCTAGATGGATGTAGCCGTTAGCATTTGCCTATCCTGCCCATGTTACAGGCTGACCCTMTTTATAACAGCATCATAACAGTACAGAACAACATTCAGACCAATAAAGAGTATTTCAACAGGACTGATACCCTGGTGGCGTAAGCATCAGACGGATGGTATTTCTTTGGAGTGAAGAGCAGAAGCATCCTGTCCCACATCTGGACTCCGCTCAGCGAGGTGATACCCATGTAGAGGAAGATGCCAAACAGGGCCGTCATGGGAATCATCTTCAGAATGGGCTCCATGAAAATCGAAACGCCTAAAAAGTCATAGAYTTCACAGTCAGAGGAGGAGAGAAGCGCGAGGAGGATAAGTGTGGCSAGTTAGACGGCAGCACCTACCAACCATCGTGGCCACGAGCATGCCGCTGATCCTCTGCTCAACCACCTTCTCTATCTCCGGTTTGGGCCCCTTGGTCATGACGGTCAGAGCGTTGGCGTGAGTGACGGAGCGCACCGTGGCGGCGCTCAGCCAGGGCACGCCGAAGATGGACGAGATGCCCCCCATGGTGACCAGCAAGAGCAGGTCAAAATGGAAACCAGATCCTTTCACCATCTTCCTCTCGGGTTTGCTCACGATCAAACTGGAACCCACAAAAAAAAAAAAACCTTTTACAAAAAGCCAAACGCAAAGAGACGATGTGATAGGAAGCATAACTCACGTAGTGATCTGAGACTCCATGAAGATGAGGATGAAGACGAGCAGAGCGGGAACGCAGCAGGCACCCATCATCCAAATGGGGAAAGGCTTTTTTTCTCCCATGGGGTTGATCAGCCAGCCTCTTTCTTTGGGGTTGGTCACCTCAACTCCTTTTGGCACAACTAGTTTCTGCAAGGAGACAAAGATTTTCACTCGGAAAGARGTACTTTTGTCAAATGTGTCACAGTATAAATATTTAGGATTTTTAAATGATGATTCTTTGTCTTTTTCTGCCCGTATTCAACAGCTGGTGAAGAAGCTGAGATTAAAATTGGGATTTTATTTCAGGATTAGATCATGTCTATCATTGAGGCAGAAAAGCGATTGGTTGAAGCAACATTTATGTATGCAATGGACTATGGGGACATTTTATACATGCATGCTTCTCTTAAATGTCTTTACTCACTGGATACCGTTTATCATGGAGCTCTAAGGTTTATAAAAAGTTTTACACATCATTGCACACTATATAATCGGGTTGGATGGACAGACTTGGACACTCATAGACTATGTCTTTGGTATATTTTTATTTATTAGAATATAATAGGACTTCTTCCATTATATTTGTTGGCCTACATAAATAGAAAGTCCACTGGAGGATACTCTCTTCGTTGCGAGAATTTATTTTTGCTTTCAGTGCCTAAAGTCCGAACTGAACTTGGAAAGAAATCTTTTCAGTTTTCTGCTTCATCTTCTTGGAATCAGTTGCAGAGATACTTGAACCTAAAGGTGCTGTTGTCACTTAATGTTTTTAAGGCTTTTCTTATTGATTTTGGGAAATAATCATCTGTTTGTAAATGTTTTAAGTGAGGAATCTTATTTAATCTATCTATGATGGTACTGATTCTATTTTTGCTGTGAATGTTTTGTAACCTCTGTGTACCACTGCCAGTCTTGGCCAGGATTCCCTTGCAAACGAGATTCTTAATCTCAATGGGAMWTTCCTGGTGAAATAAAGGTTTAACAAAAAATAATACARTTTTAATTGATGGTCTCATACTTGACATGACACGTACCTGAGTGTAAGCATCTTCAATGCTGATATCCACGGCGATCATGAAGAAAATGGCGATGGGCACTCCGAAATCTCCAATCAAGCGACGAATCTTCACAGGAYAAGACACAAACAATCAGAGTCTCAWCGCGTAACGTGCCGATGYCTTCCYTTTTAAAAAGCTGATCTTACCGGGCCGGGGAGGAAGGTGCTATGTTTGAACTGCCGGAGGAAGTAGGCGATGAAGAAGCAGCCGAACATCAGGCACATGGACAGCAGGGCGGTGTTCGGGTARGGCCTTTCGACCTCCAGCTCTCTGATCGTCGTGTTTCCGTCCGGATGGATCTCGATGTGCTCCTTGATGACCGGGTGGAAGGGGTTGTCCAGTGTATCGTTCAGATGTTCGTAGTTCAGGATCAAAGGGTGAGTTTTGAAGATCTGATGGAGAGGAAGCAGGAGAGAGACGTGAGTGAACGGCGGCTTGCGTGAAAATCTGTGATGGATGGATGGAAGGAGACCTTTATGAGCTTCGCAAAGGTCTCATAGATGAAAATGAGTGAGATGAGGATGGAGAAGATTTCTTGGGTGAAGCGGGAAATGAATCGGACCAAGAAGCTTCCTTCCACCGCCACAACGATGACCACGATCACCACCAGCCAGATACCCACCCAGATCCGGCCCACGATGTACTCCAGACCCTGGGCCTTGCAAAACTGARGTTGAAAGAGCAAAGGCTTTGGATCAGAACGTGTTTCTTCACGGAATTAACGCGAGGAGTTTTGTACGTACTGCAAAAAARGCCTCTTCGAACAGCAGCAGAGGTCCGGAGAAGCCGATGACCAGGACGGGTTGGGCGGCGAATAAACAGAAGATGACGCCCTGGACGCAGGTGGAGATCATGAGCTCGGACACGCCCATCATTCTGTCCGTTTTGTCAGCTAGGTGAGAACCATTGAGACTCATTATGGGTTATGGTTTTGGCTGAACAGAAAAAAAGTGACTGTCTTGATTTTTTTACCCAGAAGTCCTCCAAAAGTGATGGCAGGGGAGAGGGCAGCGAAGTAGATGAAGATGAAGGCGGAGACCACCTGAGGGTTCAGAGCGTCCGTGTAGTCGCTGAGGTAGTGGCGGTAGCGACGCTTTATGTCTTTCACCATCCCTCCGAAGGGATAGCCTGTACGGACCAGGGGGTCCTCCTTCGGTTCTTCTGGACCCGTGTCTGCAAGGCAAGTAGAACCAAACCATCGTCTAAAAAAACATAAATTCACTATAAACTGCTGTCGCTCCGACGCTGACCTTCGACCCTGTCTCCAAAGGCGAGCCGGGTGTCGGCAGGACGAAGTCTGTCGCGCAGCATCTTCTTCTGGAACTCAATGATCGGCTCCATCATTGCTATGTCTTGGATCTCGGTGGGAGGAATCACAACGCTGCAGTCCATGAAGTCTGCGACAGCGTTGGTCAGATCCTTCTCAGTCTGGGCCAGGTAGGCTTCCAGACAGAACACCTGCAGGGGGAGAGAAACACTTTTATCCACCTGCACGGGTTTAACGCCGCAGGACGCCGCTATCTCCGTTCTTTTCCCTCACCCAGTCGGCCATGAGGGCGGCCATGGCTCGTCCGCTCTGACTGTAGTCCAGCCCGCTCTGGCTCGGCCCCACCATCATGAGGACGAAGCGAACGGGAACAGAGGATTGCAGAACCGACTCCATCACCACGGAGTCGTTGAGCCGGACAAAAGCCAGCACGGGTTTCTGCAGGAGGTCAAAGATCCCTGCAAGACACCAACGTTCAACCGAAACTGCTTCAGAAGCACACGTGGATAATTAAAGCTGAGAAAACATGCCTGTGAGGATGATTGAAGCTTCCACGTTGTCAGAGCTCTCCCTCTACAATAAAAAAGAAAGATTAAACATAAAAAAGTTGTTTATTTGATGTTAAGGTCAAAACGAATAAAGATGATCACCTTCTTTGCAACAGAAAAAGTCTGCATCTGAATATCTCCAGACTGAGTGACAGCAGGTCCGTCCGACTGACTGCAAGGACACGTCAGTTCAGCAAAAGAACGAAAAAAGAGAGAATTTATTTTCCAGAAGATAAGGGGTCACCTGCGCCTCATCAGGAGAGCTCTCAGCAGGGCGTCTCGGTCGCTGGAGCGGATCTCATTCCTGCTGAGCAGCTCGTCGACCATCCTCTCCGCCACCGAGGACAGAGTGCTGGCGGCCACGTCGAAAATGATGGCACCTGAGGACACAGGTAAGACGTTTACTACATGAACGATTTGATTTGTCCGTATGTTTGATGCTTCCTTTAACTCGCCTGTGCTCATGGCTCTGCGGACGTGAAGCAAGCTCCTAAAGGTGAGGTAGGAGACGTGAGAGGGACCCCACTTCCCTGTCGCAGAGTCCAGGTTCTCCTCGTAGCCCACCCATCGGCCGGTCTCCTGCCAGACGTTGCCCTGGAGCTCGTTCAGCTCCACATAGGCCTGTGGTTCCAGGATTACAGTTAACCTCAGCATTTAACTGCTTTTAACGTTTCATTTGAAGGAGTAGACTCACCTGAGCATCTCCTCTTGTGGTGGCGTTGGTGTTCAGATTCAGAAAAGCTGGAATAGAAAAACAGAAGGCTTTTTTGGAAACGTATAAAAACAAATCATAAAAATGAACACAAACACAGAGAATGGTTCACCATCTGAATCTCTGGGAATGATGATGCCTTCAGAGAGAGGCTTCTTCTCCTCCTCCTTTTCCTCCTCTGTCCTCTGAGGTTCAAAGGTGCCATTCTGACCTGGCGAGGTCCTGAAGGAGCAAAACAAACAAAAAAAAACTATATAAATCACCCTACAGTGTCAWATTAAATGTTGCTGTTATTATTTGTTTAGAAAGAGATGCAGTTAAACCCTTAAAACCGTAATTATTAAACTGAAAATGTCAGAATTGAGAAAACGCCTCAGTTAACTTCGGTTATCGTGACTGTTCTTCACATGACCACCAGGTGGCAGCAGCACTCTGCTCCACTTCAGCTCTGTTTTCTCATCTGTTTTAACAGTAAAATTATTTTTCACAGAACATGGACAAAAATTCAATTAGTAAAAAATGCTGTTTACTTGCCTTCACATTTCTAACATTTACTCATATAATTTGTTTAATTTTTAAAATGCAGCTGATTATAAAACACATTCTTATTACAGAACAAAATAATATTTATATCAGTTTTAATGCTGTTTACATCCTGTTTTTATCCTCATACTTAATAATAAGAGTCAACTAATAAGTTCAAAATAAGTTCAAAGCAGTACATTTGCATGTAAGAAACATAGAGTGAGCAAAAATGGAACGGCAATACAATAAAACAGAAATAGCATCTTGGAACAAAACTAGCCGACAACATAACAGTATCAACAATAAAGAGAAAAACAATAAAAAATTATGAATAATAATAATAATAATAATAATAATAATAATAATAATAATAAAGGAAACCAATAAATGAACTAGAAGTTCACTCAATGAGAGGATCAATGCTAATTTTAGCTTTTTAAAATAAAACAAGCTTTTTATTATGATCCTTTAAAACATAATTTTACAGACTGTTTTCCTCAGCTTGTGTCCTTCAGGTGAATTATTTGTCAGTTTAGCTGCTGAATGTGAAAACATGTAAAAATCTGATGGGAAACTGTGTGTTTTTATTTCCTACAGCTGAGAGCAGCAGCTGGAAATAGATCAAAACATCTGGGGGGAAAAGTGATCTTCTGTGTCCCAGACATTGTTAAAAAATGATAAGAGCAACTTGAACCCAGAAAACTTGAACTTTTTGAGATGATAGCCACTCAGGCTCAGTTCGGCCCAAGAAATGCTCCCTGTCTTATCAGAAACAGCAGAAATTCACTGCAAAAGCAAAAAAAAACTGATCTGAAAACGAGGGACTTACAGCCTAACGGGAGAGGGGAAGGCTGAGCCGTTGTCTTCGTAGGACACYTCACTGCCCTGTGTCAGAAAAAATAAGAATAAAAAGTTGAAGCTTTTAGATGAAAATGACATTTTTCTCCTGAAGGATGGATTATAAATAAAAACAAACCTCCTCATAACTGAAGTCGTTCTCCATGGAGGCTGAGTTTTTTTTTTTTTGTCTCAATGTTCAACTGATTTTATGGATTCCCTGATCAGAAAAGAAACAAATCAACACAACACAAACTTTTCATGACAAYTGGAGAAAATCTTGACTGTTTCAATGTCAAACCAGAAGGTTTTTATTGTGGTTAAAGGAGAAAAAAACCTGCCTCYTGATAAAACTTATTTTGAGCCTGTTTGCAGACAGTTTTGATAAAACCATCAGCATCATATGTTGCACTAAAACGTCTGCGGCTCCTCGGTTTGGTCCAGATAATGGATCAGCCGTTGACCATTGATAGAGTTTAAATAGAAGACTTCAGAACCTTATCTTCGGGTCACACCCTTCAACCAGACTCATCTGTTCTTCTAGTTGCCCTAATATCAACTTATAGAACCAACAGGAAGGAAAAAGTATTTTCCTTACAATAAAGTTTTGTGTATTTACAGACTCTCTACTTCCAGTTGTTTTTAGGCCAAACAAGTTTTTTTAATGCAGCAAATTTTATATTTCTTTCCATATAAGTAGAAAAAGGTTGTATAATATTAAAAAGGCAAAATTATAGAATTATTATTATTATTACTATTTAAAAAAGCAAAATTATGGAATTATTAATAGAAATTATAGCATATTTGAATTATGGTAATAAATTAAGAACAACAAACTTGTTTTTCTCTAAGACAGCTCAAGTTCAAAGARTCAAAGTGCATTCATTTTGTTTGATTTCTAATTTCTGATTCATCAGAGCTAAAAAAAAATAGCATCTAACCTGGGCCCAGAGGAGGCCACACCCCTTACCTGTGTGCAGGTACTCCCACCTGGTCTCCACCTGGTCTCCACCAGGACGATCGATGCCCTGTCAGCGCGGCAAGCTCGATGACAAAGTGAAAAAGACGAGCACAGCGAGAGACCCCCCCACAGAGGAGCGGGAACACCCACTTGAAAGTACGTCGGCGGCGATGCTCAGGACCCCACGACTCCCTCAGCTGGGTGGGTGACACACAAACATCTCTATCTGCTCGGGACACCTTGACTCAGGGATATCCCAGCCCTAATTTGGCTGCACCACCCTCTCGGCCAYGACTAAGTCCAAGGGCAGAACCATGGGCCTGATCGTGTCGGGGGGCCCGCAGGGGTCGAAGAGGTCAGAGAGGGGGGCAAAGGGCAAAATCATGACCTGAGCATCTTCTGACGTCATCCTGTTTACACTCTGGGGATTCCCTTTTAAAATCGATTAAAGAGAGAGAAGAGTGAGGAGGCGAGGGAGCCCKCAGAATGATGTGAGGACATTAAACCCAACTTTAAAAACAACAARGCTTCAACTCACTTGTTTGCTTCTAGATTGGAGGCGGGAGCGAGAAGGCGAGGCCTCCTCCGCTGCTGATGACAGATACAGACTCATGATGCAGGACAGGAGAACTCACAGATCACTGAAGGAAAAGAAACATCTGACGAGGCAGAACTGAAGGAGTCTCACCCAGGTCTTCAGTTCTTGAAGACACGACTTCAAGACTACGTCCACTGGCCTGAAACMTCGCACTTTCTCCATTTTAAAGACACAAAGAAGCAAAAACTGGACAGGAAATAAGTGAAAAAGTAGCTAAAGTATAAAGAATAATAATAAACTGTAAAAATCAAGATTACAAGAGTCCAGGAAAGCCACCTGGAAGCAAAGTGGTTTTAAACTTTTGGTTGTGGCACACTCAAAAAACAGATGTAATGGTAAATGGACTGRYCTTATATTGCACTTRGACARGTGTCAGAACAGTGGGGAYTTGATCTGCATTAGAGGAACGACTCACTTAATCACCCAGCCACAGGACTCTGCAGTTTACACTCATCTACAGGCCAGGACTCCGCAGTTTACACTCATCTACAGGCCAGGACTCCGCAGTTTACACTCATCTACAGGCCAGGACTC